ATGTATGTATGTATGTATGTATGTATGTATGTATGTATGTATGTGTGCATGCATGTACGTATGTATGTGTATATATGTGTCTGTGTGTATGCCTATATGAATGTATGTCTGGATGCATGCATACATGCATGTACGTATGTATGTATGTATGTTTGTATGTATGTATGTATGTATGTATGCATGTATGTATGTATGTAATGTATGCATGCATGCATGCATGCATGTATGTATGTATGTCTGTCTGTCTGTCTGTCTGTCTGTCTGTCTGTATGTATGTATGTATGTATGTATGTACGCACGTATGTATGTGTGTATGCATGCATGCATGCATGCATGCATGCATGTATGTGTGTACGTATGCATGTATGCATGTATGTAGACAGATACATGTATGGCTAGGGTTAGGTGGGCTCCCAGCTGCCTGCGGGAACTCTGGCCACGACACTGCCGGTGCAGCACCCACACTGCCCCAGGATCCCTCCGCCACGATTCTGCCACGGCTCCGCCGCGGTGGCTTTCTGCCACCGCTCGCCCCCCCGGCTGTGCGGGACGCCCTCTGACCCTCGGGCCTTTCTTGGGGTGCCGCGGTGCTGCCGAGCGCACTCGCAGAGCATCGGCACAGCAGTCTGGGAGCTGCCTGTCACCAGCCTCGAACTTATCCCTACCCCTAAGATTGTGACACGCCAAAAGGCGATGGCAATCTCAGGGGTGCGCCCTGAAGAACTGAGGGAGTCCTCAAGATTGGCGTTGTGCTGAGGCGATGCCGGGATAGGGATAGGGATATGTTCCAGGCTGGTACGCCTGGAACATGGCGATGGCGATGGATGGGACATGGCGATGGCGATGTCGATGGCTTACCAGCCTGGAGCATGGCGATGGCGATGGAACATGGCGATGGCGATGGAACATGGCGATGTTCCAGGCTGGTAAGCCTGGTAAGCCTGGTAAGCCAGGCTGGTATGCCGGGATAGGGATAGGGATAGGCGATGGCGTTGTGATGAGGCGATGCCCAGCTTGGGGATAGGGATATGTTCCAGGCTGGGAAGCCTGGAAGGCGCTCTGGGCCGCGCGGGGGGGGGGGAGGTCGTTCTGTTTTGGCCCTGGGCCGTCCCAGAGCCGTCTTGGGCCAGCCTTGCGTCGGGAGTGTCCCCCTGCAGGGGGGATTCTCGACGAGAGGTAAACAATGCCCCAAAAATGCCCCAGGAAGGACAAACAATACTCAAAAAATAGTCCCCAGACTGTTTTTGGACTATTGTTTGATTGTTTTGGTTTTTCTATTATTCGTCGAAGATCCCCCTGTAGGGGGACAGGCCCGACTTCAGGCCAGCCTGGGGCCTTTTCGTGGACGTCTCAGTCTGAGGCCGTTCTGTGACGCTCCGGGGCTGCTCGGGCGCTTTCGGGGGCCGCCTCGGGCGCACTCTGGCGGCGGTTGGCGGTTCCCTTGTTTCCTTCGGGGGCCACATGCGACCCCTACCCCTACCCCCGACGATTCCTGAGGGGGAGGGTGGGGGTAGGGTTCGCATGCGGCCCCCGAGGAGGGTGCAGGGAAAGGGGACGACGGAGTCAACGACTTACAGAGATGACGACTCGAACAGACAAGCCCCCCACACGCGCCGACGAGGTCGGCGGATTCGAACTTATGTTCAGGGTTGTCGTGTGGTCTTCGTGCGAACTTCAGAGGGTCCAGAAATTCCTTGCGGATTGGGGGGGTCGTCCGGATTCTATCTGATTGGATCAGCTGGACGAAATTTGAGCGGAGTGAACCTCCCCCTCCCCCTCAGAAGTCGTGGGGGGGTAGGGTAGGGTTCGCCTGCGGCCCCCCATGCGAACCTCCCCCTCCCCCTCAGAAGTCGTGGGGGGTAGGGGTAGGGTTCGCGTGCGGCCCCCTGAATTATCCCTTCCAGGGGGGGCGAGGGAGGCTTCTCCGTGCGTGCGCGGGGCCCTGGGCGCGGCGGGGGCCGGGCTGTCCTCGGCGGGACGGCGCCGCGCGGGCGGGGAGCCGCAGGGCGGCGGGGGCAGCGCAGGCAGACGGCAGGCGTTCAGTCGGGCCAGGGGGATTGTCGACGAAAAACAAAGCATATTCAACAAATACCCCAAGCAGGTCAAAAAAAACCCAAAAATGGTCCCCGGACTATTTTTTACAATTGTTTGACTATGTTGGGGGATTTTCGACGAGAAATAAACAATAATCAAAAAATGCGTACCCCAAGAAGGTCAAAAGAAACTCTAAAAATAATCATCAGACTATGTTTGGATTATTATTGATTATTTGGGAGGTTTTTTTTTTTTTTTTTTTTTTTAAAAAATTTTTCGTCGAAAATCCCCCCCCCTGCAGGGGGACAGGCCCGACTTAAAGCAAGCGGCCAGGCAGGCAGGCACTCACGTAGTCGGGCGGGGCTGGGACTCGGACGAATCCGTTCCCGGAAGCTCTGCGCGAAGGCCGCGGCGCCCGAGACAGCCTCCAGAGCAACCGGATCTTTGAGTGTCTCGACCTGGCCTCGCCCGGTTTTGTCCTCGTCATGGCTTCGTCTTACGCAGGGAGATGTGCCAACAGAGTCATCATCCGAAAGCGGGAGCAGCTCAAGAGGTAGGGACGGGCCGCCCTGTGGATGGGTCAGGGTCATCATCCGTCTCTTCCGCCTCTGTTATCCTTTCCCTCCTCCCATCGGGACTGCCAGCCCCAATTGCTTAGAACAAACACCTCGACGGCAGGCCAGAGCCCAACGCACGGCGGAGGGCCGTCGCGGCTGGTCCAAATCGTTGCAGTCTCAGTGCTATTTGCAGTGAGGTGTCTCTTTATACACGTTTCACCTCGCTGCGAACTGCCCCCCGCGCCCGCCACCATGTTTTGTGTCCTGTCGCTTGTAGTCCAGGCTTCCTTTTATCTTGGAGGGGGGCGCGTCATCGCCACGGGCGGGAGCGGCTCGGGATCGGTCGTGGTGGTGACCAGGACGCTCGGGGTTGGTCGTGGTGGTAGTCGGGACGAGGCAGCGGATGAGTGCTTGAACGTGCGCTTGCTTGAGGCGCGTGCGAACACACACACACACACACACACACACACATCAAAGGGTGATGCCAGTGCCTCAGCTCGGAGGAGGCAGAGGTATCGACACCGCTACCCCCCACTCGTTTTCGCCTGTGGGGCCTCCTGGGAGGCCCTCGTCGCCACTGCTGGATTCGCTTCGACAGTCTCGTCAGGACGCACCCCCGAAGAGGTCGGGGGATTGGCGGTAGTTGTATTTGTTGGGTTCCCTGATTGTCTCAGCAGCTTGTCTTGGAAATGTGCGTTCCTTACTTGTGGTTCTTTTTCCATCACCTCAGTCGGCCGCCTTCCTTGCCCGATGGTGCAGACCAAGGAAGACGGAGCTTGATTGCGAAGGCCTCACGGTCGGTGCCTTACAACGGCAGCGGCGGCGACGACGACGACGACGACGACGACGACGACGACGACGACGACGACGACGACGACACTGACCTGGGCGAGCGTCATGAGGGGTGCTTCTTCGGCGCTCTTCGGATGGCTCTCGGGGGCCTCTGGGTTGAAATTTTGGGGCCTCTTCGGAGCCTATCGGGGGCCTCTGGGGAGCCTCTTGGGGGCCTCTTCGGGCTTCCTGGAGACCTCTGGTAGGCCTCTTGGGGCCTCTTGGAAACTTCTTGGGGCCTCCTGGGAGCCGCTCGGGGCCGAGGGTTCGAACTGTCCGTTCGGGTCCCCCGCTGGGCACGCTCTTGGGGCCGTCTTGGGGGCCTCTTCGGCAGTTTTTGAAACGTTTTGGGGTCCTCTTGGGCTGTTTTGGGTCCCTCTTGGGAGCCTCCTGGGCCGTCTTGGGGCGATCGCGGGAGCCTCTTACGCAGTCTTCGAGCGGCGGGGAGTGGAAGGCGAGAACGCTGATGTTTTTCCGATCAGAGAATTATCCTGGCGAAGGGCCCAATCACATGCAGTTGTGGGTTTCGCAATTGTGAATATCTTCTTCGGTGAAGCTCCCTATGGGGCCACGAAGCGCTGCACTGGGTGGAGGGGAACGCATGCAGGCGGTAGCACTGGGGCCGTCGGGGGAGCTCCCTGTGTGGCCACGAAGCGCTGCACTGGGTGGGGGGGGGGGACGCACGCGGGCGGTAGCACCGGGGCCTTCGTAGGAGCTCCCCACGGGGCCACGAACCGCTATACTGGGTGTGGGGGACGCATGCGGGCGGTAGCATTGGGACTTTCGGTGGAGCTCCCTATGGGGCCACGAAGCGCTGTACTGGGTGGGGGGGACACATGCGGGCGGTAGCACTGGGGCCTTCGGTGGAGCTCCCTATGTGGCCACGAAACGCTGCACTGGGTGGAGGGGACGCATGCGGGCGGTAGCACTGGGGCCTTCGGTAGAGCTCCCTATCGGGCCACGAAGCGCTGCACTAGGTGGGGGGGGACGCACGCTGGCGGTAGCACCGGGGCCTTCGGTGGAGCTCACCACGGGGCCACGAAGCGCTGTACTGGGAGGGGGGGACGCACGCGGGCGGTAGCACCGGGGCCTTCGGTGGAGCTCCCTATGGGGCCACGAGCTGTACTGGGTGGGGGTGACGCATGCGGGCGGTAGCACTGGGGCCTTCGGTGGAGCTCCCTATGTGGCCACGAAACGTGTGAGGGGTGTGCCGAGATGGGTGTGGGGGAGTGGTGGCACTGGGGCCTTCGGTGGAGCTCCCTCTGTGGCCATGAAACGCGTGAGGGGTGTGCCAAAGTGGGTGTGTGGGACGCATGCGGGCGGTCCCACTGGCGGCTTCTGTGGAGCTCCCTATGGGGCCACAAAACGTTGTATTGGGTGCGTGAAAATGCCAAATTGGGTGTGTGGGGCGCATGCGGACGGTCCCACTGGGGGCTTATGTGGAGGTCCCTATGGGGCCACGAAGCGCTGTTTTGGGTAGGTGAAAATGCCAAATTGGGCTTCTGGGACGCATGCGGGCGACTGCTTCGGTGGAGCTCCCTATGGGGCACGAAACGCTGTACTTAGTGGTTGAAAATGCCCAAATGGGTTTCTGGGACGCATGCGGACGGTCCCACTGGGGGTTTCGGTGGAGCTCCCTATGGGGCCACGAAGCGCTGTACTGGGTGGGTGAAACGCAGGGAGGAGGGAGGAGGGGGAGGAGGGGGAAGGAGGAAGGAACGAGGAGGAACGCGGGGACCGTCTTTTCAAAGCGAGGACCCAACACCACATGATGGTTGGGAAATACAAGATTAAGTTTGGCCCCTTGAGGCCCTCTCAGGAGTGCTTTTGGAAGCTTCTTCGGGCGTCCTAGAAGCCTCCTGAGCAGCCTGGAGGGCGTGAAGGCGTTTTGGACCGATCGTTTGGGGCCCTCCTACCGTCTTGGGGGCCTCTTGGGCACTTTGGCCTGTCTTGTTACTTTCTGAGGCCCTGGGACCCCAGGGGGGGATGCGTATCTGATCCCCCTAAGAGTTTTCACCCCCTCCCCCAGGCGGCCGGCAGCCAACCCGGACCAATGAGCAACCCCCACCATCCTTTGTAAATTATTTGACGCGGAGATCCCCATATGCGCATCCAGTTTCCTGGCACTTTCTTCCACGAGTGTCTGGGTACGAGAGAGTCATGGTATGAGTGGGGTGAGTCTCAGAGTCTGAGTGCGGGCGAGCCTGAGTGCGAGCGAGTCTGAGTGAGTGTGAGTGAGTCTCAGTGCTAGTGATTCTACGCGTATGGGTCTCAGTTTGATTAAGCATCGTGTAGGTATATCTGCGCCCGGGTTCGAGTGACTCTGAGTATGGCAGATTTGAGAGGGAGCAGGCGTGAGGACAGAGGAAAGAAGGCTGCAAAGAGACAGTTCTTTCCTTCTCTTCCTGTGTCCTCCTTCGTCTTAAGCTGTCCTTTCGCATCCTCCTCCTCCTCCTCCTGCTCCTCATCCTCCTCCCTGGCAAGTGTCCCCCTCCCTGGTGGCTCCTCCTTGGGGTGCCCACGTGCATGATACGATTGCTCTACCGCGGTGACCATGGGGCTCTCAAACGAGAGGGGCCTGGGCCACCGAACAGACCAACCGCCTGAGACATCCCCACACTGGCCGCGAACGGGAAAGTGAAATATACCCTGACGGCTTCCCGTGGGGAGTGCTGAAACCAGCGCCTCGCTCGAGACATCCTCACCATCTGCTCCGAATGCAGAGCATGCTGGGCACCCAAACGCGCAATTCGCTGGAGACAACCCCACAATCTGAGCGCGAACGGACCCGTGAACACACCCTAGTTACTCTCCCTTGAGAGTGCTGAAACCAGCGCCTCGCTCGAGACATCCTCGGACTCTGCTCTGAACGCAGACGAGTCTGGCCGCCAAAACAGGCAAACAACCAGAGACATTCTCGCAAGTTGAGCCCTGGGCGGTGCTCACCCGAGACATCCTCGGCAGACCGTCTTTGAACGCAGACGAGTCTGGCCACCCAAACGGGCCAACCGCTTAAGACATCCTCGCAATCTGGGCCCACTGGGGTGCGACAACCAGCGCCTCGCCAGAGACAGATTCAACATCTGTTCCGCATGTGGAGGATGTTGGGCATACGAACAGGCAAGCCGCCTGAGACATCCCCGCAATCTGGGCGCGAACGGAGGAGTGAGATACCCCCTGGATCCCCCCTTGGGGTGCGACAGCCAGGGTCTCGCCCTAGACATCCTCAACACCGGCTCCGAAAGCGGAGGATGTTGGGCATGCAACTAGGCAAGCCGTTCGAGACATCCTCGCAATTTGGGCTCGAACGGAGCAGTTAGATACCCCTTGGCGCCCACGTGTGTGCGAAGACCAGCGCTTCGCCCCAGACATCCTCAACACCTGCTCCGAAGACAGAGGATGCTGGGCATGCAAACGGGCCGCTCGAGACATCCCCGCAATCTGGACGCGGACGGAGGAGTGAGATGTCCCCTGGCGCCCCCCCCTTGGGTGTACGAAAACCAGCGCCTCGCTCGAGACATCCTCATGATCTGATCCGTCGTCATCATCATCATCAGCATCATCATCATCATCGTCATCGTCATCGTCATCGGTCTAATGCTCGCCGTCGTCATTCTAACCTCAATTATCATCATCATCATTAGTATTATCATTATCTTAATTCTCACCATTATCATCATCCTCAGCATCAGCAGCATTGTCGTCATCGTAACAATCATCACCATCATTGTAAACTCAGCATCACCATCATTATCAGCACCATCAGCAGCATCATCATCAGCACCATCATCAACGTCATCACCATCATCATCATCATCATCATCATCATCATCATCATCATCATTATCATCATCATTATCATCATCATCATCATCATCATCATCATCATCATCATCATCATCATCACTACCACCATCACCATCTTCTTTATCATCATCGTCCTCGTCGTCGTCATCATCCTCACCACCATCATCACCAGTTTCATTATTATCATCATCACCATCATAATCAGCATCACCATCACTACCCGCATCATAACCAGGGTTCTCTTGCGTGAGGAAGAGAAGGGGGAGGGAGTTGTGAGGGAGTCCGCGCGGTAGGAAATACAAAAGAATTCCATCATCAGGATATGGGGAAAACAGTCCACATCTCGCGCATCTGCGGACGCCCCGCGACCATTCCGCAGAGACTTTTGACCAGGACGGCGGGGGTGCCATCATATTGCTTGTTGCGAGCAGGCTGACACCCCCCAACAACATGCAAGACAAACAATATTCTTTGGCTCCAGATCTGGAGCACGCGGAGGCCTTCCATTCCTTGAGCTCTCATCTGCTTCACGACTCCTCAAGATGTCACAATCTGTCCATCGGTGCCATTGCTTTTTGCGCTCCCTGGAGGAGCCGCGCCTTCTCACAGAATGTTCGGCACCTCGCTCCGCAGGTGTGCTCAAGGTCCTGAGCTCCTGGGGGCTCGGGCCCCAGGCACCTGGGGTGCCTTCAGGTTCCCCTTTCTCCTCTCCTCCCTCCTCCTCCTCCTCCTCCTCCTCCTCCTACTCCTCCTCGTCCTCCTCCTCCTCCTCCCCCTCCCCCTCCTCCTCCTCCTCCTCCTCCCCCTCCTCCTCCTCCCCCCTCCTCCTCCTCCTCCTCCTCCTCCTCCTCCTCCTCCTCCTCCCCCTCCTCCTCCTCCTCACCTGGAACCCGTAGCGCGCATGGCATGTGGGGCGTTCCTAAGCGATCTGCTGACGCTCGGGTGTTGCTTCTTTGTGGGGAGGGCGGGCGGGAGTGAGCTGTAGACGGCCTGCTGCCCAGGAGGGCAGCTTGACCCCCCCCCACTGACCCCTCCGGGACCCCTCCCCCGGGAAAAACCCCCGGGGACACCAGCTGGGACCCCCCCCCTGGAAAAAACACCCGGCGTCCCCCTCCCCCCCCCCCCGGGCGGGGGAGGGATCAAAGGGAGAGTAAAGGTGTTTCGACGTTGCTAGAGGAGGAGGTAGGATGCCACATGCGAACCCTACCCCCACCCTCCCCCTCAGAAATCGTGGGGGGTAGGGGTAGGGTTCGCATGTGGCCCCCGAGGAGGGTCCAGGGAAAGGGGACGACGGAGTCAACGACTGACAGAGATGACGACTCGAACAGACAAGCCCCTCACACGCGCCGACAAGGTCGGCGGATTCGAATTTATATTCAGGGTTGTTGTATGGTCTTCGCGCGAACTTCAGAGGGTCCAGAAATTCCTTGCGGATTGGGGGGGTCGTCCGGATTCTGTCTGATTGGGTCAGCTGGACGAAAGTTGAGCGAAGTTTGCACGAAAGGGTTAAGAGGGGTGGTCGACATCTGGACGAAATAAATCCGGTCGTTACGATTATGTGAAAGGATTGCGGAGGTCCACCGATGCCCCCATGAAGGCTCACCCATGGGCCCATGGGTTGGCCCTCTGCCACCAGCCTCCCTCTGAGGCATGATAAAGCGACCTGAGTGAAATTGACCATTGAGCTGTGTTCTACCACGTACCCAAGTTGCCACGATACTGAGGGCTTATTTGACACGTTGCTGCTGAACCCCATGCCGCGCAGCCTGGGGGGGCGGCGGATATTGCCTGCAGGCATCGGGCCCGATGGTGTTCCAGCGTTGAGCCTCGCGCTCTTTGACTGTTCCCTTTGACTTGAGCTGCCGATCATCAGAACGTCCATGGGTCTTCAGCACAAGCTCTGAAATTACACTCGACCTGCATCCACTGTTGACATGCTGTGTTGACCGTTTCATGATTTTTTGTTGGTGGTCGGCCATTTTCTGAATTAGTGCGTATGATATATCTATACCTATACGACCACACTGCGGGTGATAAGGAGGTTGGGGGGCAGCAATGGGCAACATGTCGATGTACATTTCGATTTGATTTTTGATCTGCATCTCGATTTGCATGTCGACTTGCATTGGACAGCTCGCCGCAAGCGCCGATGTCGATTTGTATTTGGATGTGCATGTCGATTTGCATTTCGATGTGCTTTTCGGTTTGCATGTAGACTTGCATCGGATAGCTCGCCGCAGCCACGGCCGGACACCAGCAGGACACTAGCTGGACACCGCGGGGCACCGTTTGCCAGGAGGAGCATCATTTGGTCCGGCCGCGGCCCAGCCACAGGAGGATTTCGGGACACCAGCGGGACACCGGCGGGACACCGCGGGCCACAGGCCGCCGGAGGAGAATCATCTGGTCCGGCCTTGGCCCAGCCACAGGAGAATTTCCTTTCGCCCGCCCACGCAGCTTCGCCTCGCCCGCACGCACGCACGGCACGCACGACACGAACCTGAAACCGAAATCGATTTCTCGGCAGGGGGGGTGTCCGTTTCACGTCGGACTTACCCCCGAACCTCCGATGTATTGACCCAGCCGAACACAATCAGTCACGGTCGATGGATGTTTTAGCTTCCCTCGGTTCCCTGCCTGCCGAGCGGGCAGATGGCAGATTTTTGAAGGATCAGCGCTTACGCCGCAGATCCACGTGTCAACTGGCCGGTGGAGTACAGACAGGCACTCCAGTTCCTCCGACTTCTGCTCGTGCCTCCTCTCAGGGTGCAGCCCCCGAAAAAAGCGTCGCAGACCATAGCCCTACCCGCGGCCAGTTCCCGCCGTCGTGCCGGCGCGGCACTCTGTGCGGCGACCCCCCCCGGGAAGGCCGTACCACGTGACACGCCTCACCTCGGCCCTCTATTTGTCGACGTTTCGCACATCCCCAGCAGCCCATCCAGAAGCGGCGCCCAGGAGAGCTGGGGCGACCAGGGAAGTGTAGGGGCAAAAAAAGGGGGCAGCCGCGATCTGTCGAATGAGGAGGAGGAGGAAGATGAGGAGGAGGCGAGAGGAGAGGGAGGAGGAGGAGGAGGAGGAGGACGGAGGAGGAGGAGGAGGAGGAGGAGGAGGAGGAGGAGGAGGACGGAGGAATACATGTAGGAGGAGGACGAAGGAGGAGGAGGAGGAGGAGGAGGAGGAGGAGATAGAAGCAACTTGAGTAGGCAGATGAGAACAAGGAGGAAGATGAGGAGGAGGAGGAGGAGAAGGAGGAGGAGGGCGAACAGAAGGCCAGAAGCCTCTTGGATGCCCGGGGGCTTCCTTGGAGGCCCTTTGGGACGTCTTGGATGCCTCTTGGCGGTCTTGGGGGCCCCTTGGGGCGTCTTGGGTGCCTCTGAGGGGTGCCTCTTGAGGCTTCTTCGGGCCGTTTAAGCACCTCTTGGGAACTTCGTTGGGGCCGCTTGGGGCCCCCTTGGGAGCACTGGAGGCCATCTTGTAGGACATCGATCAAAGAAGTGGGGGTTGATTATCATCACCCCTCTAGAGCCTCTAAAATCGCCTCTTGGGACCCTCTTGGAACGCTCTTTGGTGCTCTTGGGGCCGCCTTGGGGCCCTCTTGGACCTCTCTTGATGCCCTCTTGGGCCATCTTGGAGCCATCGTGAGGCTTCGGGAAGCCATCGGAAGCGAAAAGGCAAGAACGCAACACAAACAGTGTGTTTTCGCAAGTGTTGAAAGGATGCTGGCCTCTTGGAGGCTCTCTTGGGGGTGCTCCGAGGCCACCTGGAGCCGTCTCGAGGCGGTCATGGAGCCTCTAGGAGCATCTTGGAAGCCATGTTGAGGAATGTTGAGCCATCTTGAGCCGTCTTGGAGGCCATCGTGGGCTCTGTGATGCCATGTTTGAGCCATCATGGACCATGGACGCTCCAATGGATCGCGGGGCGCCCCGTCCAGGTCCATGGGGAGGGGAGGGGGAGGGGTAACCTTTTCCCGAAGGGGAAGAAGGGAAGATACATAGAAAAGCGCTCTAAACCAATCACGTCCAGAGGGCTGGTGTGATTATTTGATGGAGCTCTTATGGGGCCTGCCTGGGCCGTCTTGGGGCCTTCTTTGGTCTTCCTCGGCCATCTTGGGACTCTATCGAGCCGTCCTGGTACCGTCTTGGGCACCTCTCGGCCGACTCGGGGATCTCGTTGGGCTGCGTTGGGGGCTACTTGGCGCCCTATTGAGCCATGCTGGGACTTTCATTTCTTCACGCTTCGCGTACCGCCACCAGTACTATGCTCTCCTGGCGTGCAGGACTTCATTCCACTCTGGCGTCTTTCGGCCTTTCTCTTGCATGTTGCACCTGCTACCCTGGCCTTCAGCAGGCAGCTCAGCCAGCTTCCCATCAGCTGCAGCCCCGCCAGCGGCTGCTACTGAGTGCAGGCTCGGCCGCTCCGCTCTAGGCTCGCGCGTAGCCAATTTGGCAGGCCCATGCCCCGGACCTCTCTTCGGCGACTGCGTGACCGCGTCCGCCCGCGACCAAAACAAAAATATCGCCACCAGTGAAGAGCGCCCCGCTGAAGAGCTCCCGGAATGTTTCATCGACGGCACCTCCTTGCGGGCTCTTGCAGTAACTAGTGCGTGGCTAAACAAGAAAGCACGCATTGACTACACCCGCTGGCGCATATGGGACGATGTGCTAGCCCAATGGAAGACCTCATCATCCGTGATTGCACGCTATTTCGCGGCTGAAAGAGCCCAGCTTTACCCAGGACTTCGTGTGAATAACAACGGCAAGCTGGTGCCAGTGGTGGGTTAGCTGAAGTAAGCTTCGATACAGAGCGCCCATCGTGCGCGGCAGTGTACACAGGGTAATGGTGAGCTTTCCTGCTTCTTCTCCTTTTGCTTCAGCGGTTAGCTGACTCCCCCTCTCCTGTTTCACTGGGGTCTTTCCTCGCGGCTGGGGTTGCCGCCAATACCGCTGCCGGATGGTGCCCCGTCAGCTTGGATCGCACGCGAAGTTTCACACTGGGAGTGGGCGGCGAGGTGCCCACTGGCTGCCTTAGGCCGGCGCCACCCCCCACTGCTGATGGCCGAAAGGGTTTAGTCGGATTCTGATACACTGCTGACAGTTACGGTGCAAGGACTTCGATTTCGGCAGGTGTCGTTATGAGCGCTCACGTCCCACAGGAGTTCATTTAGCACAGTCGGTTGGCATAGTCACGGCTGGCACAGTCAGGTTTGGCATAGTCAACGCGGACAAAAATGGCACAGCCACGGTTGGCACAGTCAGCATCAACTGCTCGAGAAATTTGTCTTCCCCCTCCTCTCACAGCGCGCGCCTGGCGTGCACTTCCTTCCCTCCCCTCCTGCATTCTAATGCTGCAGCGATCAGCTGCCACACCGGGGTGCCTACCGTGCCTGGCGTGCACTTCCTCTCCTCTCCTCCTGCATCCTTATGCCACTGCGGCAGCTGTTGCACCGGGGTGCTCTCCCTCCTGTTTTACAGGGTTCTTCCCTGGCGGCTGGGGTTTGCTGCCCAATACTGCTTCCTGATGGCGTTCAGGTGGTCTGGAATTCATGCAAGGGCTCACACAGGGAATGGTGCTGCGGCGCATTCGCTGAGGTCATGTGCCCCCTGGCCTGCTCCTGGCTGGTGTCGGCCCCTACTGATGACCAGAAGGTTCCAGTGGGTCTCTCGCTACGCTGCCTACCTTACGGTGCCTGGACTTCGGGTTCGGCAAGTGTGGCTCTGTACGCTCGTTGGCCGGCGTTCTCCTGCATGGACTTCGCTTTCGACGAGTGTTGCATATTTTACTGCCGTTTGCAGTACTGTCGGTAATGCGGTTGCCCCTCTTCACTCTTGCGCCGACACGATGTTTTGGCATTTGTGTCGCCTGCGTCACGGATGTCGTCTGGGTGTGCCTGTCGGTCTAGTTCGTCTCTGACGGTGCTGTTTGTCTGAGTCACACCGAGCGACCGACCTCTGCGTTTTTATGGTCGCGCCGCCGCGCCATTTTGTCTGCGCCTACTTGCTGGTCGCCACTGGGATTCCCAACGCCACCGGGTATGAGAGTATTGGTTCCGGCTATCCTTCTGAGTGGCTGCCCGCTCGCTCGCTTCGCTTGCCTTTTTTTCCTGCTGCCTAGTCGCGGCCCGACTAGCGTCCGGACGGCTTTCGACCCGCCTCGCGAGCCTGTTGACCAAAAGTAGCCCCACCAGTTGCCTGCGACTCGTTTGGAGTCCGCTGCCTCTGCCCGCATGGGGTCGACGGACGCCCCTCCTCCCCCACGTCGCCTCCCCCAGGGACGGCTACTTTCCCCGGCTTTGGCTCTCGCCGCCGCCTGCGCAGGGCTGCGTCCTTCTCCCGCTGGCCCCCCGCCTCTACTGCTCCCGCGCCGCCCAGGCGTTGGCTCTCTTCCCCCCGCCGTGGTGGTGCTTCCGCTGTTCCCACGCCCCCTTTGGCGATCCGGAAGCTCTCCAGCGAGCGCCTGCACGCCCTGTTCGACGTCCTCCTCGGCTGCGTCACGGTGGTCACCGAGTCCGTCGGTTCCTTGCTCTTCGCCACTTTGGCGCTGCACGTCGACCTGCGGTTCATCCTGGTCCTCCGCGTTTCCTGAGCCGCAGCGTAGCCCGCTCCTGTGGCTCCTGTGAGTAATTTGGGTTGTTGCTTTGTTGTTTCGATATGATGGCGCGCGGCTGTACCGCTTGCGCTCGCGACCAACAGCGTACCCCCACCAGCCCATTCAGAAACCCTGCCCACGAGAACTGACGGGAAAAGAGGCGAAGGGGCACATCTAGGAAAACAAAGCGAGCGACCAGGACGATCCGAGAGGTCAGTGGGAACAGTGGGGTGGCCTTGGAAGGCCTCTTCAGGCCATCCCTGGGGGCCGCGTGGGGGCGAGGGGACGAAGAGGAAGAAGAGGAGGAGGTTGAGGGATCCACAGAGTGTGATCCCTGGTGGTGCTGCTGCCGGTGCTGCTGATGTTGTTGTTGTTGCCTCTGCTGGTGCTGCGGCTGGAGCCCTGGAAGGCCTGTTGGAGCCATCTAGGAGAAAGTTGATCAACATACGGGGGGTACTCGATTCCGGCCCCCTTTTTCAGGAGCCTTCAAAATCGCTTTTTGGGGTTCTTCAGGGGTCTTTGGGAGGGTATTGGCACTCTCTTGTTGGTGGTCTTATTCGCTGTCTTGGGGCCCTCTTGAGGCCCTCTTGGGGCTCTCTTGGGGCCCTCTTGGAACCCCTGGAAGGCCTTTAGGGGCCAGTTTGAAGGCCATCGATTAAAGAAGAGATGGGGCAACGTTCGCCCCCCCCCCCCCCCCCCCCCAAGAGGCCAAAATGTGCCCAGAGGGCTGGTTGGATAACGTTCAGCCCCCCCCCCTCCCGAAAGAGGCCAAGCTGGGGCCAAAACCCTGCTAAATTCAACGATTTGGGCGCCCAGAGGGCTGTTGGGGCAACGTGCCAAAACCGTAGTAAAACTAATGAATTTGGCTTCCTCGCCGAGGCCGTTTTGGACGTTCTGACACTTCGCGGAGCCCCCCAAACAAAATCCAGGGGAGGGGTACAGGGAGGGGTAAGCCCCTCCCCGTAGGGGAAGAGATTTTTATTTTGAGGGGAAGAGGGAAGAAAAATCTCGTTAGATCACCTGTCGCCCAAAGGGCTGGTGGGATTTCTGGTGCCGTCTTTGGGCCCTCGAGGTACTGTCATGTGCCGTCTTGGGGGCATCAAGCTCGCTCTGGACATCTTTTGTCTCTTTGAAAGCCTCTTGGAACCATGTTGAACGGAGATGGCCTGACAACGAGACCTAAGGA